CATGGATGGTTTTATTTTTAAGTGACCTTATCTGATGGAAAGAAAAGAAAGATTAACACCTTGATGGTTGAGCATTTTCCTGTAAAATGCCAGAAAGTAACATCAACTTTTTGAAGTAGTAATTAATAGACTTAACCCCTTAACTGCAGATTAATTTCCTATTCTTTCAGGTTTTTTGAGTCAAAATATATAACTTTTATTTTGACAATGTTGTACAAGTCAGTGAAGAGATATATTTCAATACAGATAAACAAAAGTGGGTTTTCAGTCCTTCAACACCATCACCTCTTCGTAGCAGTTTATTAGGTTTTGCTGTGTTGTAAGAGGGAATCAAATGATGCTCATAGGCAGTTGATGCTGTTAAGGGGTTAAAAAATATTTGATTCAAAACTGACATGAAACCTTCTGAATAGGTTATGCAATAGGAATATGTATAGATTGACATGTTTTACAGTCTTTTTCTAGGTACTATGCTGACAACAATCTCCTTACCTTTGAACCCAATGATAACTTGAGAAAAGGCTTCTTATTGGACTGCAATTTTCCTTTATTTTAATTGAGTTTGCTGCATTAGAATGATATTGGTGTCAATTTATACCAAAGATGAGTAAGCAAAATAAACAATTTTCGTCAATTGAGATGAAAAAGTACACATTCAAGAAAATTCAAAAAAGAAAAAACCACACACAAATAATTATTAAATGGATGCACCATTGGAATGTCCATTCTCTCAAAATACACCAGTACCTTGTTTTTTCTTTTTTGAACTGAGTACATACAAGAACTTTACAGGGTGCCCTTTAATAAGCTTCACTATTCAACTGATTAACATCTTAAATGAAAATAAGTATCTAGAAAATGTCTGGCTATCTATGCACATGGCCTTAAGACTCACCTCATTGTGAATAAAATGCAAAGTTCAACAAAGCCTGCCAGTGCACATACCTTTGTGACTTGTCATCCATTGATATGTAGATAGGAAAATCCTATGGTTTGTGGAAAGTGGCATGACAGTCACAATCTGTCATAAGATGGTGCAGGCTTGAAAAGATGGGGTCCCTTATGCAATCAAAAGAAGGCAGGGTGAGGTGTGAAGCCAATTAAAGGACACCCAGCAAATAAGAGTGAATACCCAGTGGATCACTCGCAAAAGGATAATAGGTGTCTCACTGAAGACAGGAAACAAACTGGGAATGCAATAGCATACAACTGGTTAGGGATTTCAATATAAAACACTGTTAGAGCAGTTGTATATCAGAAGTGATGAACAGGAATGACATGTACCATGCTGATTTCTTGAGAGGCATAGTGCCGATGAGATCCCCGATGGCCGATGCTGAGTTGATGACATAAGCCTGACCAGTTACGACACAAAGAAGCAATTTCAGCCTCTATCCCATTGCAGGGAAGGGGAAAAAATCATAGCCATGTCACACATCTTGACTTGACATCACCTCCACGCTCATATAGTTCTAGGCCTGATAGTCCATGCTCTACCTTAAAGCTAGGATACTCATACCTCAATAGCAAGAGAAGTAACATGGAATGTCAACCATGAATTTTACATTGAATCTTACCTTATCTGCTTCAAGTTGGTTAAACACAAATTCCACCACAACATCATCTTCCACTCCTCCAAGTAATTCAGTGATTCTGTGTGCAATCCAAGGTTTGATCACATCCAGTTTCACTTTTGACATGTTCACCTGAAAAAAGGAATATATAACCACAATTAGACTCCTCTGATCTCCAAAAATATGGATATTATGTGGCTTATACCTACTATCAACAGAGCAAATTTTTTGTCTCAAAGGGTACACATACAAGCTGCCTAGAAACTTTCTGCAGAGGTATGAAAGTCAACTAATAAGGGATCAATTCATGAAACTCTTCCACAATCTTTAACCACTGAACTCTGAAAGCCTCATCAATAACAGCTATTCTTTGATGATGAGATGCCAAAAGATCTTGTATGAAAATAAATTAAAAGGAAAGGGTCACTTTTCAAAAACTGCCACTCCCAAGAGAAGTTGGCAGATGGAAGCCTACTCAAGGTGCCATAGGGTTGGCCTTGGCTATCTGAGAGAAATCAAACCACAAGATGAAGAGGCTGGGTTCCAATTTAACCCATCCACTTACCTAGCCATTGAATGGACCACCTGACATTATATGCACTTGGCTTACTTAATCATTGTTTCAATGGTCTTGCATGGACTTGTCTATTGGTATGATTTACGTCCAACATGACTGCATTTATTCTTGGGTACTTGTGGGTGATTCTTAGTATGTAAGTGTTGCTAGTGAATTTTCATGAAATTAAATGGTAGTTCCAGCAAAGATGGTAAACAGATGGGTTAATTCATTTGATCAAGGGCGTCAAACCATAAAATACCTATCACATTCAACTTGTGTTTCACAGTAGAAACAGCTTATGCCCATAAGTTAACTTACATATACAGGGTGATTTTTAAAACAGTTCCTATTTTCCTATTCACATAACTTTTATTTTAATGCCATTGCAGTGGCTAAATTTGCACAAAGTATGGAAGACAAGGGAGATTCAGGTGGGCTCATTGATTAAAACGTGACAAGTCTGATGTGACCCATTTTCATTAATCACACAGCACCAAACAGACAGAATAATTGAGGAATAACAGGAAGATTGCCACTGTGCAAACAGAAAATGTTTCTCCATTTTTATTTCTGTCGCTCATTGGTGCATCTGGATTTTGTATGGATATGCAGAAATACTGGTATAGAAAATCATCTGTTGCTGAATACGAAATATCAAGTTGGGAGGTTCTTTCTGGGATTGCAGATTAACATTTGTCTGGCAAGAGCGAAATTTTGTCGATATGCACACAGTGATTGGATGCTCAAAATGGCTATTTCAACAGCCCCTGACAACACCTTCTGATTCAAACTGCTTAAAAAGTCTGGTATTAGTCCTGCTGGAGAGTATTCCTGGTATGAAAGTGCTGTTGATACTGTCTTTGCAAACTTACAGGTGATTTGTTTAGCTTGAAGTACCATTTCATAAAGAAACTATTTCTGCTCCTCTGTGAAGGACACCATATTGCTTCAATACTGCCCCTTAAGTATTTTTCCATGATTCATCCATGTTTTTGAGCCCACATGAATCTCCCATGCCTTCTTCATATTCTGTACCAATATTATCACTGAAATGTCATTGTAAAAAAAGTTACATGAAATGGAAACTACCCAAGTAGCGTGCGCAAAAGTAGCGGGCCATAAACAGCCCAGGCACTACACTGGTGGATTTTTGCTGGGGGTGGGAACTTTGTTGCAAGTTGGACATGCAGTTGCTGGCCTGCTAGCCTGCTACCTATTGTAGGTAGGTCTTGTATTGTAGGTCTCTGAGCTAGTGGGCCCACTAGATGGTACTCCAGTTCCATGCACCCTACAAATGCAAGGAAGTACCTGCCTTCCTGATTTAGCAAAAGTGTTTCTTCCTCGTTTTTCCTTTTTTAATTTATAAACAGGAACTAGGAAATCATGGAGTTATGATGCTTTGATTGTACTATAAGATTTGGGAAGTTATTAAATGTTGCAGTTATGTATGGGAATTCAGAAGTGTATAGGATATGGGGAGGGTAGAGAAACTAGGTTTTCCCTATGTCATATTGTATGTATGATATGCCTTAATACTCGAAGACTTCTGCTCTTCCTCCCCAAAGACTCATAGTCTTTGGGGATGCAGAAGGGGAGAGCAGTGGGCCATCTTGGTACTCTTGAGTATTCTTCTGAGTAGGCTCCAGAGCCCAGATAAATCAATAATTCAGATATATATGGAGGCATTAGGACCCTTCCCAGCTGGTGGTACACCACAAACGAGCTAACTGGTAAAGTGCTGGCCCTTAAGCAGCCTGGAAGGTGGTGGGCCACTACTGGCAAATGGGACATGTGGCTGGTGGCCCACGACCTAGTCAAGGTGATGGGCCACCAACTCTCTTCTGGTTGAACATCATGGAGTGCCTGGTAAACCATAACGTCGATGCCACAAGGCTCTGACATCAGAGGGAACTAACAGGTACTCCTGAAATGAGCAACCCCCAGATTACAACATCTGATCTGAAGAAGGTGCTCAAACAAACAGCGAACCGGAAGAGCCCCGGACATGACCGTCTTCTGACCTGGCTGAAGCAGTTAAAATCACTACACTACACAACAACTCACCAGAGAAATGCAGAAAGTAGTGACAGACCCCTCGATGACACCAGATTGGCTCACTGCAGGAGTCACCTACCAACTCCTGAAAAATGCTGAAACCAAGCTACCTTGGAATTACAGGCTCATCACCTGCCTGCCAACTGTCTACAAAGTGCTGTCTTCCATCCTAGCAGCACGAATCAAACAACACATCTATGACAACAACATCATGTCGGAAGAGCAAAAGGGGTGTCAGAAAGGATCGTACAGCTGCAAGAACAGCTCTTGCTCAACTGTACAGTCATGGATGATGCCAGAAACAGGAAGAAGAACCTCTCGATGGCATGGATCGACTACCAGAAGGCATACGACTCAGTGCCCCATTCATGGATCATTGAGTGCCTCAGGATATACATCAACCCTGTGGTGGTCAACTTCCTCCAACAGACCATGCCTCACTGGAAGACGGTAATGTCCCCCAAGGGACAAGACTCCACCCTGACAACTCACAAGATTTCTATCAAACGCAGGATCTTCCAGGGAGACATGCAATCTCCTCTCCTCTTCTATCTGGGTCTTAACCCACTCAGTACTGAGCTATCTCGGACTGACTGCGGTTATTACATAGGAAAGGGGAAGATTGCAGACCAATGCATGAACCACGTTCTCTACATGGACGACCTGAAACTATACGCCTCCAACGAGAAACAGCTCAAAAGCCTTCTCAATGTCGTCAGCATCTTCTTGAAAGACATCTGCATGAAATTCGGACTTGACAAGTGCGCAAAGCTCTCTATCCACAGTGGAATCCTCACCCCTATGGGAGATATCACCACCACCAATGACGAACAACTCCAAGAGCTTACGGCCCCTGACACCTATAAATACCTCGGTGTGGAAGAGAACTCCTCTGTGGCTGTCAAGCGCACGAAGCAGAGACTGATGACTGAATACAAACGTAGAGTTCGCCTCGTACTGAAGACCAAGCTGGCTGGCAAAATAAGATTGCTGCCCTCAACAGTCTCACCATTCCTGTCCTCAACTTCAGCTTTGGAGTTATCAATCGGTCACCAATGGAACTCCAGGCCATCGATCAAGCGACCAAAAAACCCCTGACCATGCATCACACCCACCATCCGAAGGCTGCTGTTGAAAGATTCTACCTTCTGAGATGCAAGGGAAGGAGGAGACTGATTGAACTCGAGTCCCTCTATAAGCGGACAACGTGTGAAGTCACCAGATACATCGAAAGGAAGTAGGGACGACTCATTTCCATCCTGAGAGAGTGCAATGCCCTGAAGAAATCCCACTCCATCCAGGGGGATGGCACCCACATCTGAAACGCACTCCATCTCGATGACTGTGACACAAAGGATGTGAAGATGGCAGACCAAGTACAAAGAGAGGCTTGATGGAAGGAGAAACTGCTACACGGCCAGCATCCCAAGATCATGGATAAACCATCAATCAACTCGGACTTCAGCTACAACTGGCTGAAGAAGGGACTGTTGAATGCCGAGACAGAGAGCAACATCCTAGCCATTCAGGACCAGTGCATTAGAACTCGTAACTACGAGAAGCACATCCTGAAGCTGGATGTGGAAGACCGCTGCAGATGCTGTCATGGACCATCTGAAACGGTTCACCACCTCCTTAGTGCCTGCCCCGAACTAGCCCTGAGGGAGTACTTGCACAGGCACGAGCAGGTGTGCAAATATGTGCACTGGTGTGTCTGCAAGCAAGCCAGCCTGGATGTCCCAGAGAAGTGGTACGAATACCAGCCTCAGTCTGTAGTGGAGAACTCCTCCACCAAGGTACTCTGGGGCATGTCCATAATTATGGACCGCACCATAGTTTGTATGTGGGATCATTAAAAAATTCACGTTTTTTTCTGTATTAATAATGGTAGGCCAGGATTTTTTTTCCACTCAAAAGGCCCTTCATTCAAGATTTCTCAACATAATCCCCATGAACTTCAATGCACTTTTTGAGCCTGGAGATCCAGGCATCAAAACACCTCCGAAATTAGTCTTTTTCCAGCCTTTTCAGTTCCTCACTCATAGCTGCCTCAAGCTCTTCATGCCCATCAAACACCCTTCCGTGAAATTTTTCCTTAATTTTTGGGAATAACCAAAAGTTGCAAGGGTGAGATCAGGGGAATAATCTGATAACTTGAATCCCCTGCTCAGCCAGAAAGTCCTCTGTGCGGTGGCCCTGTGAGCCAGGGCATTGTCATGGTGGAGGAAATGCCTGCAGAGATTTGTCTTGGGATGACCTCTGAGGAGGTCAACAAAAACTTTTGGCAGATAGACATTTGTGTACCACTCTGATGTCACTGTCCAATGCTCCTCCAAAGGCACTGAGGCCACAATTCTGGCTTGAATGAAGAAGATGGCAAACATGGTTTTCCCAGCTGACCTCTGGCGTCTGGCCTTTGTTTGGCTGACCACTCCATGGACTGCAGCTTGGTGTAGGGGTCAAAATTGTACATCCAGCTCTCATCACCAGTGCAAAGCTTTGGATATGTGCTCGATTTGCTGTTCTTAAACTTTTCCAGGAACCATTTTGCAAAAGTGAATCATTGTTGTTTTAGCTCTGCTGTCAGGACATGTGGGACCCACCAGCAAGATTTTTTCATCATGTTCAGGTGGTCGTGCAGGATTCCTCCAGTTGACGTGGCATCTATCCCAAATAGATGCTCCATCTTCTCAAGGGTCAAGTGGGGATCCTCTTCAACCAGTTTTTTATGGCAGCCACATTTTCTTAATTTGTCACAGATTTTGGGCAACCTTCACGTGGCTCGTCTGTGAGGTCAAAATGTCCAGTTTGAAAATGGCCAAACCACTTCCTCACAGTTGTCATGCTTGAGGTTTCATTGCCATACACTTGAAGGAACTCATTAAAGCAGTCTTGGGCAATTAAACGCTGCTAGAAGTTGTGAAAAAGAATCGCGTGCCATTATTCAGTACTATAGGGCAGAAATTCACTGAGGAACTCATCACTGGATCTCTTATATCTTGTCTCCATTGCACTTCTTGGTAGCAAAATTTTCTAAATTAAGTATATAGATACCACTCAACATGCAGGAAAAGCAACATCTGCCGCAATAATTTTTTCACTGGAAAATCGCAAACTTTTAGATGTTCCCACGTAATCGGCTGGACCTCACAATCTATAAGGAGAAGATCACCCTCCTTGTAGATGTGAGCATCCCAGCTGATAATAACCTCCAAGAGAAGACCAGGGAGAAGCTGGAGAAATACTCCAAACTGAAAGTGGAAGTAGAACAGTTGTGCGGAATGAAGACCACCATCGTTCTGATCATCATAGGCACAACTGGTCCTGAAAGACCTCAAGGGACATGTCAGGAAGCTGGAGTGTGAAATATCACTCGATATCCTCCAGCATATAGCAATCTTGGGCACGGCCAGCATCCTCCGCCGTGTCTTTCAGAATTAGGCAAGTATGAGGTCTGGGATGAGGTTCATCCCCCCTCACACCTCCAATACTGGCAGTCGCCGTGAAAGGATTTATATATACAGGGTGTCCCATTTACTGCGAATGATTTTAATCGCGTATAAAATTCTTCCATGAGCAAACTAAACCAAATTTTCACAATATTTAAATGTCTGTTTAGCATTTATTGCGACAAAGTTTCAGCCAAGACAAATTCACCAATTACAAGCTATGAACTTCAACATGACCCCCATCGATTTCAAACACTTTTTCCAATCGTGCCTGGCATTCAAGCAGCATTTTCTGGCGCATTTCAACGGAAATGTCTCCAAATGCAGCGGTCATACATTTCTTCAGTTCAGGAATGTCCCTCAGTTTGGTTGCACAGATTTTTGACTTGACAAAGTCCCACGGCGCTAATACAGGAGAATAGGCTGGCCAGGGCATTGTTTTGGTGATCCACGACCCATCCACTGATCCGGAAACTTTTCATTCAGCCAGGCACGAATTTTCTATACCGAAATGAGGCGGGGCACCATCCTTAATGCCAAAGAAAAATTTTAGCCAGAAATTGAATCATAAGGATTGGCTGATGGTCTGGTCTTCATGCAGGATGGTGCCGTGCCTCATTACCAGACATACCAGGCATGATTGGAAAAAGTGCTTCAAATTGACGGGGTTGTGTTGAAGTTCATAGCTTGTAATTGGTGAATTTGTTTTGGCTGAAACTTTGTCACTATAAATGCTAAACAGACATCTAAATATTGTGAAAGTTTGGTTTAGTTTGCTCAAGCAGGAAGAATTTTTTACGTTATTAAAATCGTCCGCAATAAATGGGACACCCTGTATATAAGCCCTATATCACGACCTCTATATATATAGAGCTATATCATGAAAAACTGATATTATATTATAGTACCTCCAGGAGTAAGAAAGTGCTCATTTGGGTTAACTTCCATATCAAAACTAGATCAAGAAGTATATCTCACCTTTTTTTCAAGACTTTCTCCAAACTTCATTTGTTTGAGCAATTTCTTTTGCTTGTCAGCAAAGCGATTGTCTTGATCTGAGGATGTCCCCTGGAATAAACAGAAGCAGACTTTTAACATTCAATGTGTGGTTTAGGTTGTCAAGGACCCAGGATGCAATAAACAAAAAGGTTAGTTTTTGTCAAAACTGGTGTTTCCCCTTTCCTAGATTATTTCTATTGGCAAATAACCTTCCCTGTACATCAATAAGTCTTAAATAAGCAAAATATTGGTTAGTCTGTCATAAATATTTGGCACTGCAGGTCTAAGACGAATTCTTTCAGCCTGACCCTAGGGCTTACTCTAACAGATGAGCTTCCTGAAAAACTCACCTAATGAAGTAAACATTGGCCAATATTCTGAAAGCCACTAGAACTTATGTCTTGCTAGAACAAATTGTATATTTAAGGGGTTTCCTTCATTGACAAGACAAATGAGAACATGATGTAGCTTTTCATTGTGTTCAGAAAAACACCATCAGCAAAACTGCAAATGGTGCTGGTAAACACATAGAGAGGAGGTTATTCTGCAAGCACATATGGAAAAACTTTCTCTTGGAATATAGAATCTAACAATGAGAGAGAAAATTTAGTTGCAAAGTCCTTGATTTTACATGTAATTTAATCCATGCATATCAACAGACATAATAATTGTATGTCATGGAGTGCACCTGACCCACCACATCACCAAGTGTATACTGGTACAGTGTTCTTTAAGGCAGTGGTTCCCAAACTGTGGGTTGCGAGAGGCCTCAAGGTGGGTCATGTACATTTTCATCCCAAAAAAATCACTATATCTGCATCCGCTCAGGATAAAACATGCCCAGCAGAAGAGGTCAATCAGCTTTCTTCAGGCAATAATTCCTTTGAAAATATCTCATCCTGGATTCTGGTGGGTCACAACATTTTTTGTACTTCAGCAAGTGGGTTGTGATTCAAAGAAGTTTGGGAACCGCTGCTTTAAGGTACAACTATAACATTAAATTTAGGATTTTATGAAAAAATCTATTTAAAAAAAAGCCTATAATTTTCTTTGACTCATTACAAATTGGAATCCACTGAAAAAAATAGGTCAAATTGGTCAAAATGTGCTCAATTAGTCATAATTAGGGTAATGACTGCTTTTCTCAAGTTCCCTAGCAACAACTTTGAGCCTTAGTTATGACCAGTTTTATTTCATATTTTTTTCAAAAAATATGCCAGAAATTCCATAATTGCCTATAGTTTATCATAAATCACCAACCACAGATCCTCTTACAAACAGTGTAGGTAGGAGCCAGTTTCCATCCACCTTTGTGCTCTCATCAACATGCAATATAATGTTTAGACCTCTTTTTCTCATTGTTTTTTGCTTGTCAGACAACCTTTCAAACATGATAACTGTCAATTTTTGGAGTACCTTGCTGAATTTTACAGCATAGGTCATTTATACATATATCTAGTAAATGAGCATGGCTTTTTGTAATTCAGTTATCAGAAGGTACATTTATATAAATATGAATATGTAATTAGGCATGAAAAAATCCCAAAATAAAAAAATACTGTATGATCAAAATTTTTCCTATGGCAAGTTATGGATCCTATAGATTCGATCAAGCACTGCTTGCACTGCTCTGACTGCTCCTGGGAATGGAATATGATACCTTCTTTACCTCTGTAGCTACAATAATTTCAGAGAAAAGAATTCATGAGTGGAGGGCACTAAAAAGGGCAACTTGCCAAATCACAGTTTTCCCCCCACTTTCCATTTTCAGGTATCTCCGAAACTAATGTACATAGATTACTGAAAAAAGTATTTCACATACTCCAAAGTACACATGGTGTACACATATGGAAATGAGCTGGGTTATTATTTGATAAATACAAATTTTTTCTTTTCAAAATCAGCAAAACTGCTGAATTTTTTTTTTGTCTGTCAAGCGTATATCCCATCTTGAATAAAATGTATTTTCCCAAACTACATGCACTCATGTATCTTGTGGTGTCATTTGTTACTTCTGTCATTCATGTCTAATTTGATATTAATTGACAAATTTTTATTTTCCCAAAAATAGGTGGAAAAGAAAATTATTTTCTCAAAAACCCCATCATTGATTTTATTCTTTTTTTTGTATTGATACTAGAAGGCATGGGTTACTGCACGATGTAAAAATTTCCTCCTCCTTTTGCCTAGTTACATAGTTATTGATTTTTAAACAAGCACATTTTCCAATGATGTTGGGAGAAACAATGGTCATATAATCACGATCAGTTTTTAGCTGTGTGTGCCGCATGACAAATATAACTGTCATGTGGTGATGAATTCAATTACATGTTGTTATCCTACAGCAATGTAATGATCTAATGAAAATTCTGATCTGAAAACATTCTTTTTCACCTATTAGTATATGTATTTTGGGAAAATACATTTTATTCCAGATAGGATATACACTTAATGGATGAAAAGAAATCATCAAAAACAAATTCAGCAGTTTTGCTGATTTTGAAAAGAGAAAAAAAAAAATGCATTTATAAAATAATAACCTGGCTCATTTCCATATCTGTACACTGTGTACTTTGAAGTATGTGAAAAACTATTTTCAGTAATCTATGTACATTGGTTTAGGAGATACCAGAAATTGAAAGTGGGGGAAAACTGCAATTTTGCCATTTTTTTTCCAAAACTATTGCAGATACAGAGGTAAATAAGGTATCATGTTTCATCATTTGGATGGGAGGACTACATATATTTCTTTGAAAAAAAATCGAAGACTATGACCTGACAGGCCCAACCTGATTTGAAATGGAACCACCTGTAGGTAGAATAATGTCAGAATATCTTGTTCAATTAAATGGCATGTTTTCTGGGAAATGTGTTTGAAAATAGGGTCAATCTCCCAACTACAGCAGTCATATTAGATGCTAATTAGCATATCTTATGCAAATTGTGTTCAAAATATAAGTTTCAGTGTTTATGCTTCCTAATGGCAAACTGGTATCATTGTTTCCTCCTTAGGCCTAGAAAGTGGTTCAAGTGGTACAGTGCTAACTTAGATGACCTTATCTCAGTAACACTCAGGTTAGCTGCTAGACTGAAGAGGAAAGAACCTTATATAGTGAACAGTGTAGACTTTTGTCAATCTGACAAGTCCATTCAAAAAAAAAAAAGGAAAAACAACAAGGTGATTAGTTATGTGTGCAGAACATCATTACAGGAAGGGGGCTAGGCAGAGTGAAAGTTTACCAGTAAGCTGAACAACATTCCCCACCTTTACAAATGTGTCTTTCATACTAAAGTGAAGATTTGCATTTGTTGAACACATCTACTTTAACTGTGGGCCTTCAGTTTGGATGACAAAAGCTCAAAGGAAACAATTTGTCATGATGCCTTTTATCTATTCTAGTACATTTCCAATGCAGGTCTCTTAGTGGTTGTTAGGTCTCTGAGAATAAAGAACAAGGATTTTTTCAAATATGAGAGTTTAGCTAGACTATGAAAAAAAAAGTCAGTGCCTATTGGCTTAGCCTCATTTTCAGGGTGGAGCTGAAAATCATGACCTCTAGCATCACTCCTAACTTGATAAAGCTTCTGGCAGCCCACCAAACACAGACATATCTTTCAAGGTAGAGGAAGGTGCTTCCTTTGTCTTGTGCGAAGATTTTGCACAAACATTTCAATGCATCAACATAAAACAAGATCTCAAGAGAGCTTTTTGTAATTGAAAGTTACCATGATCATTTAAAAACTTCTCACAATGTCAGGATAGGAAACAGATGACATGCACTTTCATTTAAGATGTCTATTTGGAACTGGAGAAATTAATTTTTGGCCTGAGGGCATCTGCTTTGAAATAAATTTTGAATGCACCCACTTAGGGCTTTATTCCCTGCTCACTGCTTGGGCTTTGAGTGGGCTCTCAGCCCTGACAATGACTTTTGTGAAATCCTGCATCTTAATGGGTACTCTTAGGTTGAACTTGTTGAAAACAATACACATGGCACTTGCAACATGATAAATGTCATCATTAAATGTACAGCAGTTTTTATGGCTTTTGGACCTAATTTTAGACATCCTTTTTCATTTCAGGAAGCCAGCTCAGTCACAACTTTGAGGCCGAGCTTTCTTCTATGGAATGAAGGCATCTTCAACTTAAGTCAGGGCTGAGCTGGCTCAGCTGATAGTCACTGCCTAAATAAAAAATATTACTGGCATGAGGAAGAGTACTGAACTGTTTCATAAAGCAGTTTATGTTCAGGTTAAAGGTTCATAAAACTGCATCTGGATGCACTTGCATGATACAAGGTCGCAAACTGGAGAGTTTGAGGAAAATCCAATAGTACCACTACACTAAGTGCCATTTTCTTTGTCGTAAGTTTCAACTGGCAATAAACTTTCCTTCTCCCCGCCCCCTGAAGTTCCACCTTTTCTAGACTGGAATGAACGAACCATCTCCTAGCGATTACTGGACCCAGGTATCCTGAATATAACGTCAGCCATGAAGTGAGGAGGAACAAATTACACTATGAATGTGAAAGTGCCAGGGCTCAACTTACAGCCTAACGCTGAGCCTAAGTTTACTATGATAGACCTAACTTACAATCGGTCTGTCAGAAATTGAAAATGCTCACTCGGAAAAAGCCAGCGTCGCTCATGATGGTAGTGGATGATGTCGAAATAGGTGCTCTTCGTTCTCCGTTGACGGAGTGCTTAAGTCGATGAGGAATACAATCGGCAACTAACAGTGATCAACTAAGAATAGTAGGCCTCCACTTCGGCCTAGGAATTCATGCAACACAGTGCCGGGCAGGAGAACTCATTCACCAGCACAGAAGACCGGCCGACACCAGATGCACGCGTCCTGCAGTAGTAGCCATGGCCAGTGCGTCGATGAGTACAATATAGAGACCTACTCGGGAGTTGAGCCGCTGGTTAGTTACTTCTGGTAGGTTTCCTGATCCTCATGTGCATGCCGCTCAAAAATAATTATAATTAGTATTAGTATTATTATTGTTCATTGTTATAGTATTGTTATCGTCATTATAATTTTGAACCAATGCCATTTTAGTGGCATTGCGATTGGGATAATCGGTGTTAGTCGATCGGAGAGGGAAAGAATATGGTTGAAAGAATAGGGAACTTTTCAAGAACAGTCGATGACTTCTCTCATGACATCTTTAGAGTCAGAGCGGCCTTCAGGATGAAAGAAACCAGTCGGGAGACAGGAATCTGAGGCATCGTCAGACATCGGCACATAAGCCAACCCTTCAAGATCGGGCACGCTACGGGTGTGGAGATGACAACTATTGCATTGAAATTTCTGTTGACGAGAAAATAGGATTAGGTCATCCTAAATTCTTTTGAGTTCTCACCATACAAGCTTTATGAATGTCTACTGGCACCTCAAAGTTTTCAGTTGCCATTTTCATGGATTATCATGAGATGAAACTCTAGTTTTGAATGATCATCATCTAAAACATCCAAGTGAGTCACCTGTAGGTACATCCTATCTTATGTAGCAACATTTATTTTTAAAAGTTCATATAATCTGCAGACGCTTGTGGGAAATTATTCAATAGGAATCCAGCATACAATGTTAAACACGTAACTTTGAATCAACATTGAATAAACGTTTGGAACGTTGTTACAACGTTGGTCCAATGTAGCTTTGTTTGCTGGGAAGGCATCAAAACTGTCCCTGATTCTTTCCCAATTCACCGTCTATGCATCTACCTGCGAAAAAGTTGCGAGTCAGAGGAAAATGCAGAAAACTCCTGGAACCACGAATAAACTCTTTTAAGTCTAAGCCAGCCAGCTGTTGAAAGAAGGCTCAATGAACGAAACAGTAGTTTCCGCTTACTACAACTTTAGTTTAAGGTGAACCTTTGATCAAAGTTATCCGAATCACCTGAAAGTTGAGCCCCTCGCGCCCATTAAGTTTATTTGCATCAAATGATTTCATAGTGGACGCGAATTGTTGGTGGTCGTTAAAGTTAATAATTTCTTATTATCAGTTTAATCTCATCGTTTGTAAAAATGGACGAGAAAATAGCTATCCCAGTTTCCACTCGCCTTGAAATTCATTCAAGAGACATTTCATCGTTACACCAAAATGTTCACTTACGGCTCTTTATCAATTAATTCACATTCTGATGGTTCTACATTCGTTATCCCCGACACATATATTGGCCTATGGCGAAAATTCCAGATCTGGGATCGTCCGCCTGTGATAGGTTGCGGATTAATTGCTATTAGAGAAATACAGGGTGAGCCAAAAATCTTTAATCTGACCATAAATGCAGGGTACCAATTTTTCAAATGTCACCCCCCCCCCTTTAGGGATTTTCTTGGCACGTTCCTGCTGACAAGTATAGACGGGAAGAGGGTCATGACAGCCAAAAGCGACAGAAAGACTCAAAGAAGACAGCAATTCTCATGATCCCAATTCCAGGAAAAGGGTGAAATCAGCTCTTCGTTCTTTAATTCCTGGAATGAGAGGAAGAGGAGACGATGGAAAGGGACAGTGAACACTTCCCTGTCGTATGTCTTCTCTTCTAGAAAATTCGGAATAACAGGGAGAATAACCAAGGGGACAAGAAAACTCGTCCATGTGAACGAGAGCTATGGAGTTCGGATTAAACGGACATTTTAATACTTTAAAATATATAGTCCAATGGGATTTCTGCCTGCTCGGAATTGACAGGGCCAGGCAGTCCCGACAACTGACGTTCGGATTAACGAGATTTGACTGTCATCCGATTATTTTTCTTCGTTCACATTATGATCACTGAATCTAACGATCAAAGGGTGAACAAGACATAGCGAGGTTCATCTGCTATCAAATTTATGCAGATGCATACATCTTTCATAGAAGTTAGCAGAAATGGGAAACAGTGATTAATTGATTTAACAATGGTAATTCAAAAAGGTTTTCAACAATCAAGGGACTAATGCATCCAACTGGCTCTGCGGTGGGCACAGGAATGATGTCCCATTTGTCATTAATGGTATCTCAAGGCAACCTTCTACTCCATTTGACCATTATTAACGCATCCAGCAATGGATGTCATTGGAACCAAACATAGTAAATGTATTGCTTAATTGTGCATTTGAAGAGCAGGGTCATGGCAAGAGTTGGGGGACTGGAGTTGCGTACTCGTGGCCCATTTTCAACAGAAAAACAACCACTCTGGCAAGTGCATCTTTCTGTGAAATGTTTTATAGTGCTAAATTGAAACCCGCTGCTCCCCACAAGCGTGGACTGTTAACATGTGCTTTTTTACTACAGTATGGCTATGCAAGACTGCGTTCAGCATGAGCAACATGTAAAACTTACAGGGTGACGTGAAATGATGTGCCCGGGTCGTAGTGCAGGTTCCTAAATAGGCAAGAAGTCTCAGGCTTTTTTTTTCGTTTAATAGAAAATGTAAATCTACCCTCAGAAAGCAAAGTTGATATAATTTGGTCGATTCGTTGCAAAATTATGGATTCTTTTCTGTTTTTACTCTTTTATTCAATAACAACAGAAAAGGTAAATTCAATAATTAGTATGGCCACTGTTTGCGGCCAGAATCGCCTGAAGACGTTTCGGCATTTAACAAAGATTTTCGAGGAAATCAGTGTCCACTTCGAGTTCATGAAGAACGTCAGTGAGATTGCTCAGAAGCGTGGATTCTAAATAACGCCTGGGTCCATGCTTATGGTGCATTCCTTCTTCCACATGATCNACTGTGTCGCAGTCAACTGAACGAATGACACTACCACTCGACTCTCGGGAACAAATGCCAATGCAGCCAAATGACGAGCCCACAAAGCAAAATCTGGGTCGTTCCCGTCAATGTACTTCGCCCGAATGTCCCCTACGATGTAACGATGCGTTAGATGACGAAGTAGTGGCTGCCCCTTCTGTGACTATCTTTAAGAAGAAACTAGATGCTTTCATGGACAGGCAAAAAGGTGGGGGGCAATGTTGACGTTAGGTACTAGACAGTAAGCAACTAGGATAGTCAAAAAAAAAAAACCGAAATGGGCGAAATCGCCTCTTGATGTCACTATCTTGACTCTTGACCTGACAAAGGTGGAAGAAGCAGCCGCGAACACTGATGCTGTCAAATGTGGCTCTAAACGCTTTTTCGGCAGCTTTTCCAAAGTCAAACAGCACCGATTGTGGTGCTATTGATGGACGCATGTTCTTGAGGGCTTCCAGCATACTTCCTGTTTGGGAGCAGAGCGAACACTAGAGGCGCGACGCACTGGAAGTGAATCGCATGAAGAGTGTAGAGCTGGTCGAATGGCTGGGGGGTAGGCTTTGAAAGTCCCATCAGCGAACAAACGATGAGAAGTCGCAAAGAGATCCAAGTTCTTTTGGGCGCCGAAAATCACCACCCGCTGTCGAAAAGGACAAACTGCGCATCCTTATACAGTGAATACGGCTCTTCTATGACCAACTCGCGCAAATTCTGAGGCTCCGGTGGTGGAGCGTGCACTAAATTTCGTTTGTGACGAATGATGCGTTTGACGGTTTCCTTGGACGGCAGTTTGGCCCGAACTGCGACTGGGGCTGGAGTTTCGCTTGAATCCGCAGCGCGCGTTTTAATTGCGTTCATCGCGTCTTTTGCTTTTTGAGCGGCGACGTCGGGCTCATGGTTGTGCTTGTAATTGTGATGTACGATTTCGGACTCAAGAGTATGGCATCCGCCGCGACATTTAGTCGCCGTCGTGTAATTGACGCAGCGCCAAATTTCCTTCTTCCCAGGGAGTCCGTGGCATTCTTTGATGTATGAGTAGCCCTGATCCGTGAGGATTTGCTTCCCCTTTTGACTAACAAACACAGTGAGTGGCATCTAAAACCAAAAACGCATTTAATAAATACGGTCTTGTGGCGGGGTATCGGGTTAAGTTGTCAACGAGCAATAACCACGCTATTGCTACCCCGGGTAAGCACCGGCCCGAATAGATCTAAATATACACCTTGTATACAGATAACAGTAATTTAAGCTAAATTAAATTACTTACCTTAAATTAAAATTCACTTGCGTGACACCCACTTGACTGAAAGAACGAGACGAAATACAAAGAACAGACCGAAATAAGGCTTTACTTTTTGCTAGCATCCTTTCAAGCCTAGAGGGTCCCACGCCATGTTATCGATATGCGATGTTCTTTCCGGACACCTATTGTAACGGCCCAGCCGGCACGACACGCGGTGAGTGGCCTGGCCGGAGGGATGCCCTGTATATGATGGAAGAGCTCTCTGTGAGCCGCCCTTGGGAGACCGTAGTAGGTGCATGACCCCCT